TTTTTTTTTTTTTTTTTATCTTGACACCTGCTTAGCGCAGTCTATTCGTATGAAAGTTTTTCTTTTTTTGCTTTACATTTATACACAACATTCCTTTTTGCATCAGTGATGCAAAAAAGTGTCGGAAAAAGTGCATTTTTTATTATTTACATCTTAGAGCTATATTATTAGAAATTGTTGTTTATTCTTCGGATATTTTTTTCAATCTTGGTTAGTTTTACTAAAAATTCCCAGACGTTTTGTAATTCCGCGGGCCTTTGTACGGTTTCGTCCTTTATTGCGATGCAAATTGTTGTAAAGCGGTTTCTGCCAATGCTCAATTTTTCCCTAATTTCCATATTTATAAAAAGAAATTTCTGTTGTTTGAAGAACTTGAGATTTTAGATGAGGATCCTAATTGTTAAGTTTGTTTGGGATAGTTGGCTTGATTGCTAAGTTTCTTTATTATTATGCACTTAAACAATCGTTCAATTCTTCTGTCGCTGAAGCATTTTGCTTGTTGTAAAAGAACAACATGCCTTTTGGTGGTTATCAAATCTGTATCTTCATCATCCCCTATGAATGATGTGATTTAATTACAGTGAATGAAACAATGATGAACAACACACATTGTATATAAAACAGAGGTTTGTTAAACGTAAAAATGATTGCCCAGTTCTGAATCTTTACGTAGAAATTCTGGTAACGTTGAAGTTCGACGAAACATTACTTGAATTGAATGCAATTTTTTCGCAGTGTAAAACGATCTATTCTCAATTGTCATTTGGTTATTTCTTAACTATTTGATTTATTCGAGTATTCCGAAGCTTTTTTTTCCCCCTTTTTTTTTGACATAAATTTTGATTGCACGACGAGAAACATTTAAAATTCGTTGGCATTGTTAGGTTATTTTTTCAATTCTTCATCTACTTGAACACTTTTTTATCTAAAAAACTCTTACAATTTCAAATGGTATTTACGCATGACTGTTTTTACAGGAAAACTTCCGGCTTAGATTCTAGTTTAGAAGGTTTTGAAGATTATTGCTGTTTTGAAGAAAGTTGTGATCATTTTTTTTATAGTGTTTTATACAGCGAGAAAATTTTCAAGTTTTATAGATCTATATAAATCGTTCTTATTTGCTTTTCTCGCAAGTGCAATGCACAAAGCTTTTAGGGTAATATTTCATCGCTATTACAGCAAAGTGTAATATCATCTATATCAGTATATATGACAATAAAAAGGGCAGTTGTTATCCCTTTTGCTTGGGATGACCGCTGACCGTAGAAATTGTCAGTCATTTTTTGATCATCCATACAGTTGGAAAGCAATCTTTAGTTAGTTAACAAAATTTTTTTATTTTTTCTAAAAATTTATTGACGTTTGTTACGTTATAAAGCAGAATCGATGAAGAAACCAAAGATATTCAAGTCTATTGATAAACTAAAACACTAATCATTTGCGGGCTTCTTAGCGATTTTTTGCCAAAAATGAATGTTATTTCTGATATGCGGGGAAATGCTGTAAATTTGTTCTTTACTCTTTTTGAAAAAGCTGTTTCAGTATCACAGTTGCGCAGCATTTTTGAACATAATCTTTATCAACTACAGCATCACTGTTTAGCGTTCATATTTTCTACTTATACAGATATTGACAGAAAGTATAGGTGTGAATGTACCGGGTTAAAAGTTAGATACTAAATTTTTCAGTCCAAAAAAGTGGTAAGAACTGTTTTCTTTATATCTGATAAGCTTTTTAAGGAATTCTTTTCAAGAAAAAACTTTCTTGTGCTTCAATACTGAAACTGTGGGTCTTAAAATAAGGCTTCCGGAAAACTGCTAGCGTTGGTTGATCAGACTTTATTTGTGGAGAGTGTAAGTAGGTCTTTAACCAACTTCTTCCTATACATCCATTAGTTGCTGCAACGTTGTGAAAAATAATTGCTGCAACTTTCTGGTGCTAAATACTCGAAATTCTGCAGATGAATTCGTTGGCATCGGCCTATTTCTTAAGGCACTTCTTTTAGAGGGTCGTAGTTACGAAGGGTCGTGGATAATGATGAACAATGTGAAAATGAAACTTATTCAAGTAACTAATGGCTGAGAACATTTGAAGCTTTTATGGAAAAAGAAGTAGATTTTTTCTTTCTAAAAAAGCGGCTGATGGATTTAAAGACATGTATGCAATTGATTAGCGATTTAATTCTTTTAATAATCTGAATAAAAGATGAGTGTTTGGCGTTTGTTTTGATAGTTATTACCCAATTACCCGACAAGTAGGTTGAAGTTTGATGATCTGATAATGATACTTGTTCCAGTGAATATTTCTGTAAAAACACTAAACAGTTGTTGTGTTAAAGTAGCAAAAGAAATTTTGTTTGTATTACGTTTCACTTTTTTACAATGATCTTAGTATCCTGTACTTTTTTCCTCTTCTAACTGTTTCTTAGTTTTTTTTCTCTTTTCTTTGAAAATACATGACTGTCACCGTATCATTTTTTCGCCTTTGTTTTCTTTCATTATTGTCTGTTTTTGTAGTACAGCAAGATTTATATTCAACTCTGTTGATTGGGATAACAAAAATCCAGTGAAAACTGTTCTGGTTTATTCCACTCAAAGCAACATACCGTCTAAGAAAGATAGTTGGCGTGATAGGATAAGGACGAAGTTCTATTGTAGATAACTGAGTTTGGCGTGGTCAAAGTTGGCCATAAAGACTGGCAACTTTTTGTTGGATAACAGATCTGTTGTCTCCTAGAATTGGAGGCTTGTTGTAAAGATCAAAAGAAATAAACATCAGTAGCTGTTGATAACAAGTTTATCAAAGTTTTGAATGGATCAAAGTTCTGAAATGCTGAGCAAGCATTTGTTTCAGCTCAAAAGTTTATGGCCAAAATTAGATTCTTCAAAAATTTAATTTGCCCCTTTTGAACATTGCCAATCTCAGATTTTTTGGAGAAGCGTTATACGTACCAACATTGTTGAGGCTGAGGCCAGGTTAAAAATTCCCAAAGGAAATAAGCGGAATTTGGGGAAAAAACCAGAACGAAGAGAAAAATTATGGATTGTGAACACATGTCAAAAAATGTGTTCTACAGAACAACAGGGGAAAAAAGTGCATATTAACAAATAAATATTTATAAAAAAAAACGAACAATAGAGAAGAGAAATACGGTGAAATTTTCGCCTGAAAAAATTGCAACATTTATATAGATGATATGTAAATTAAAAGTACAATTCGATGGAGATGGCGGAAATTCAATGATTTGCTGAAATTGTGTGTTGACCGTTTTTCTTTGTTTTTATTCTCAGCATTTTCTTTTTTTTTTTCCCTGATCTTAGCTTTGGTTTTGGTTTTGGTTTTTTTCTTTTCATTCAATTCGTCCAATATGTTTAGGAAAGCTTAAAAGAAAGACAACAGATAAACAATTGTAATGATGGGAAATGGCGAAAAAAAAAAAAAAACCTGGTATATGGAATTGTTGTTTTTTTTTTTCTTGTCTCCCTATTTTTCTCTTATTTTATTGTGTCAACAATTGAGACATAATTGTTTTTTTGGAATAACAAAAAAAAAAGTGCTCCTATTTTTTTTTCATCACATTTTTTTCTTGCAGTATCACTCGATAATATTCTTTTAATTAAAAAGAAAAGAAAACAAGGACTGTATAGCGAAATAAGGAGAAATAAAAAAGAACTAATAAAAAAAAAGCAAGATTGTTTTTTCTTAAGTGTATTTGCTGTGTGTAAGTGTGTGTGTGTGTGTTTTTAAGATTGATAACGTTTTCTAAATTAAAAATTGCAGCTAAAAAAGAAAAGATTATGTGTTTAAAAAAGCAA